ACAGCTCCAAGGTACATGCACGTCAGACAAACCAGATGTCCGCTGAGCTTCTGTGGACCAAGCCTCTTTGAGGCACTTTCACGCCCACTGCAATTGTATGAGGAAGTTTTGCGTCATGAGCCCCATTTACAGGTAAGGAAGGTAAGTGTTATGGGTTAAACTGTGCCCCCCCACAATGCTTATGTTAAAGTCTTAATCCCCGGTACCTGAGAATATGACCTTATTTGGAGATAGGATGTTTACAGACATAATCAGTTAAGATGAGGTCATTAGTGTGAGCCCGAATCCGACATGACTGTGTCCTTATTAAAAGGAGAAATTCAGACAGAGAGAGAAATGCACACGGGGAGAACACCCTGTGAGCGTGAAGGCTGAGACTGGGGTGACGCATCTACAAGCCCAGGAACACCCAGGATCACCAGCAAAGCACAGCGGCGAGGAGAGAGGCATGACACAGATCCTTCCTCACAGCCCTCAGAAAGAACCAAGCCCGCCAACACCTTTCCTTGGACTTCCAGCTTCTAGAACTGTGAGATGATGAATTTCTATTGGTTTAGCCACCCAAGTTTGTGGTAACACTTTGTAATGGCAGCCCAGGAACCACTACATTAGGTCTTAGGGTACTTCCCCAAAATTCAGTTATTGTGTAGCAGAACCAGGAATGAAACCCTTGTGTTCTGTCTCCCACGTGCTGTTCAATTTCCACTGTGCCAAAAGGAGAATACGGACAGAAATGACACACATGGAAAGAAACCAAACCGTAGTATGATTCCGTTTATCAAGATTTGTCCCACCCAGACCCAGGCTTCATCTAGACTTGGCTTTTGTGGAATTTCCCAGCTCCCTCCCTCGTCTTGACATCCATTCCTCCACGTTTGCCTGGGATAGAGGTCAAAGAGGACCCACTGATACGCTGAGCGGGGGTCCCGTAGGTGTTCCAACAGGCCTACCTGGATGCATCCACGGGTCAGCGGTGACACACACAGTGTGTTGCTGGGCAGGCTCTGGTGCTGAAAAGTATCTCCTCCAACTTACTTTATTCTTAGCAATTGATTTCTTAGGTTTGAAAATTCTCCAGCATCTTCAAGAGTGCTTTATTAATTCACCCTGTGGAGGAGCGATGCTGCGCTATCAGTGAGTGAGAGCGAGACAGCTCCAGGGCACTTTGCGAAGTTGCCTTGAGCCAGCCTGACGACAGGGACAGGCTTGTCTCAGGACCTCCGGGGAGCTCAGGTCCGCACACTGCAGCCCAGGGAGGAGTAAATGTGTCTGTGGCATAGAATGGAGACTTTGGGGTTGAGGGTTTGGGTGGGGTGAGGTTGGGGACATCAGTGGCTCTTTTCTAGCTGGATGGATAAGGCCTTCGTTACCTGGCCCTGGGAGCCACTCGCGCTCGGGAGATGCCATTCTCTGGGACGTAGCTGTGGAACAGGAGTGGAGCTGGTGCCTTTGTTCCGTCACCCTAACTAATACCGTCTCACTACCATCTTGGGGTGGGACTCAGGTGAGGAGAATCACTTTTGCCTTTTTATGTTCCTTTGTTTCTTCCTTTGTAGATACAGGCGTGGTGTCTGTCCTTCCCCCAAATTGCGTGGAGAATGGGAATGTTCCGGCAATACAAAGCTCGAGATCTTCTTTCTGAGGAGCTGAATAAATCCCTTTGATACGATGGTGGAGAACGCCAGGGACTGTCTGAGACCAGTCTGTGTCCTCCACTGGGCTGCCCGTGCCGTCGCCGTAGCTCACCTCCGGTCCCTCCCCTCATCGTTTTTTTGACCTAACAGTTA